TTTAAAAAACAAGTTTACATCACATTCTTATGCATGCCAGGGCTGTGTGGGAGGTAATTTAAGGTGGTTCTGATAAGTGTCTTGTCAGGTGGCATCTTCATATCCTGTCACATGGGCGGCAAGCCACTCCCACAAAGGAGGCCACACCCACAGAGTTGGTTCAAACAATTTTTGAAACCCACCACTGTACTGTACCATAGAATGGAGGGAAGGTATTTGGAGAAGGGTATTTTTTTTAAAAAAACACACACACACACACATTTTAAAAAGCTTTATTCCTTTTCAATTGCATTTTTCTTAGCTTGCTAAATTTTAAAAGGCGATGCTTTTCCATGGTTGGCCTGTTGAATCTCATGGGGTCACCTGACCCACTGATCCATAAACATTCATGTGAGTTGAGATCACCTGGCTTGTATAGATAAGTGTAATTAGATAACTTCTGGCCATGTTGATTAGAATTTCTGGGAGTTGTAATTCCAAAAACAGTTCAAAAGTATTGATTCCAGCTAGCTTTTTTTTTCTTCCCCCCCTCTTCCATCCCTTCCTATTACTGTCATGCTCAAAATGGGCATTCGGGTGCATGTGTGCTGGAAACCGAAAGAGCAGTCGCCCAGTGGACATGAGCGTACCTGGAAGATGATCTTCCGGTTTCCAGCATGTGCATGCGCACCGGCGGCCTGGTCTTCCGGTTTCTGGTGTGCATACGTGCAAAAAGAGCAGGTGGATGCATGCATCGGAAACTGGAAGATCATTTTCCCGGCGTGCGCATACACACCGGTCATCTGCTCTTCCGGTTTCCAGCACTCCAGCGCATGTAAAAATCAGCTGGCTGGTGCACCGGAAATCAGAAGAGCAACAGGCGACAGCTCGTGTGGCCGGAAAAATGGCCCTGGGGCGATGGCCGGCCTGCCCGCAAAGAGGGCTCACTGTCATCTGTGCACACGTGCGATAGGTTCACCATCATGTTTCTATGGTGTATCTTTATTTATATTTGTAATATTGTTATATCATTGACATGCATAGTTAGCTGATCTTAATAGAAAACAAAACTAATGACAAGCTTATTGCTTGTTGCATACTTCATTTTTTATTTGAATATACAAAGGAGAATACATAAAAAATAGAGTAGATTTTTCTAAAAAGTCAGCAAGATTTTAAAGCCATAAATGTACAATTTTATAAGTCATAGAGCTCTTCTTGGGCATAATCCATATTGAAAAAAACTTTTAAGTATTAGGGTTTTAACAGGCTTAAACTCTACTTTTATATATAGTAATATATCTACTTAGGAAGATGTTTCAAATAATTCTACCATTTCCAATTTAGAATAGTGTATCATGAGGAGGGAATGGCAAATCATTTCTGAAATCTTAATGAAATTGCAGGGACCAGGCAGCTGCCAAGAGTCAAGACCGACTCAATGGCACAAACAACAAAACAGTATTTCAAATTATATAGGAACTGTTGTTGTTGTATAGTTAAATCAGTTAAACTTCAAGTACTTAATATTTGTTGAACTGAGCTATAGTTGATCTTTGTTTCATTAATGCAGGTAAAAGGGAGAGAATATTTGCATTCTAACAATCACAAATTATATTTAGAAATGAGATTTATTCCAGTATGTCGAGCAATCCATTCAAAATAGAGTGCCACTTTTGTATAAAGACCAGGCTGTCCACTTTCACCACAGGTTTCACGTCTGCCCACAATACCCCAAAGATATCCCACATTGTTAGAGTCAAAGCAAACCAAAGGTCCTCCTGAATCGCCTTTACAGGCATCTACAGAACCATCTTCTGTACCTGAAATAAGAAAAACAAAAAGAGTTCCCTATGAAAATTCTTTATTTTATATTTTTAAGCAGAATTTCACATATTTCACATATTCACTGAAAACATACTACTATAGATATGCATTATATTACTTGTATGCTATGATTTTTAATCTAAAGTATTTGTAATTCATTCGGTTAAATGATTATCCCTCAGTTTATTATTTTATTTTACTTTATTTTAGTATTTTTTATATTTACATCTTGTCTTTTCTCCAGGAGTTCAAGGTATACACACAAGATTCCTTGTTCCTGCTTTTGCCACAACCAACCATTTTGTGAGATATTGAGAGATTGTGGCTGAACTGATGGCAATTAATTCAACATCAGCGTTAATCTTCTATGGCTGAGGTAAACTTGAACTCAGATCTCAAATCCCTAGTTCAATATGTGAACCTTTATTCTTTAATGTTTCAATTACCTATCCATAATTGGTTTGTGATGGCTGGAAAGAAATGCATTCTGGAATGGGATGATATATTTAATATTGATTTTTTTTAATCAAAGAACAACATTTGATGGCCCATTCTATCTACCAGCTCAGATAATGGTGTCAGAATAGTGGTAAGAAGGATTCATTTCATGCTTACCGGCACATTCCATTCCTTTGAAATATCGATTCTTGTAGATTTCTGAACAGTTATCCATTAGATTAACATAACCCCACTGAAGAGCATATTGCTTTTTAGATGCTAAAGAAGAAATGGGAAAGAGATAAATCAATACCAAAGCTTAATTACAAAAAGATTTCTAGTAGGTTGTCAAATCTTTCTAATGTTTTAAAATCTAAATTGACTTTATTGATCCAATTATTTTTGTAACAAATAATTAATTACATTTTTAAGAAATCATGTATGTCTTCTTTCAAAATGTATACATTTTGGGGCATTTTTCAAATCCTATTTAAGAATATTGCATTTTTTCCCTTTTTTTTCCCTTGTGGTGTTGAAAGTTAAGTGAGATAGTTGTTAAATGAACATGTGGGCTGTTAAATGGAGCATGGGTGCTTCAGGGGTGAGCCAAGGCCTACCCCATCCCTTATTATCAGCTTTTTCCACACTCCGCCCCTTGGGGTCCCCACAGCCCTTGTGCCTGCTTCCCCCCACACCAGGTCCCTGCAGACATTCCCTCTTTTCACCAGGTTGCTTCTGATGAAAGAAATATCCTTCTGGGTTCGGCTCCAAGTGGGGGAAAAGACACTGGAACATGGAGGCTGCTTGGAGAGATGGTTTATTGGTGGACAGGACCACATGGCTTGAGTCCTGAACAGAAAAGGTGATCACATGCTTCAATGTTGATGGAGAAAAGAGAAGGGAGGCCTGAGATGCTGAGTCCCTGGTTTTATACCTCTCTGGCCTTTGATCTTGAACTTGTATTCTGATTGGTTGTTGGACTCCCATGGGGCCATACAGGGGCAACTATCTAGGCTGCGTTTTGAATCCAGGTTTGGTTGAGTTCTCAGATGCCATGTGGTGAGTTAGGTAAAAGGGCCAATGTTATCATGCCTTAATCCCATCCCCCTGGAGCTGAAGTGGAGAAGCCTTTGTTATGTAAAGGGACTAGCTTGGCTTTCTTAATGGCCCATTGACAAAGGGGGGATGGGCAGGAACCTACAGGCAGCTATTCTGTCTTTCAAAACATGTTTCTTTCTTTTCACATCTAGAGAAATATTCTGCCTTTTCAATANTGCTGACTCTTTGGCTTTGAAAGGGAAATGAGCACTGTCCCCTAGAGTTGGGAATGAGTAGAACATATGTGCGAGGGAAACCTTTACCTTTACCTATGACACTAATCAAAAATGAACTGTATACAACAAAATTCATGGAGTTATTTTTATGGTATAAAAAGAATATAAACCTTGGAACTGAAAGCCAAAATCTCCACAGGGGTATTATTCATAGATGCTAAAATAATAATAATTCATTACTGCTATTATTTGCCATCCAAATTTTTGCAGCCCTTGTTTAACATTCTATTTTTTATAATTAATGCATATGAAATTTATTTTACATGTCTTTTTAAACATATTCATAGCTCCCTTTCAAATCAAGATTTCCAAGGGCACAGATAGAACTTATTAAAATTATTCAGAGTAATTATTCCCCCAGACAAAAAGCCAGACAACAATCACTTTGTTTCCACTCCTACTAAGTGGTTTCCAGCAAAGAGCTGAGATGATAAAAAGACAATCCCATTTAAGACTAGAACAATAAATAGAGGAATAAAAACATACAAAGAAGTTTACCTTGTTCAGTTCTTTGAGTTTTATTACCTAATGAAAATAAATACGAATACAAATAAATGATTTAAAATGTTAAAAAGTGCCATTTTATAAAAAATTACATATTCATACTATGACAAGCTGTGAAGCAGCTTGTTTCAACCAACTTGATAAAATTAGACCCACAAAACTCACTTTTTTTAAAAAAAGTGATTGTATTCATTCCAAGTAAAATCCTGTGTGAGTCATATTAAAATGAATAATATACCAGTGATCAGGTTTTCCCCAAACAAAGAAATCTTTGTCGGGTTTTCTTGATCAGTTCTGCATACTTTCAGCCACCATTGCCCTTGAGGAGTTAAGCAATTTGGACACAGAGAGAACAAAAAAACCTGCTTGTATAAACTAGAGATTTGGAATTGCTAAACTATGAGATTTCTCTGGCCCACTTGCTTCATTACTGGTGACTCCACTGACTTTCACCTGTGCCATGTCCTTCCCTTGGGAGCTATTTGGAGGACAAGGAGAAACCTGATGGATGCCCATTGGGATATCATTCTTCCAGAAAGACTGACTATACACATTTAGTCTTTGACTTACGACCACAATTGAGCTCAAAAATTCTCTAGCTAAGTGAGACATTTGTTAAGTGGGTTCTGCCCCATTTTACAACTTTTCTTGCCACAGCTCTTAAGTGGATCATTGCAGTTGTTCAGTTAGTAACTCAGTTGTTAAGTGAATCTGGCTCCCCCATTGACTTTCCTTGTCAGAATGTATTCACGTGACCCTGGGACATTTCAGCTGTCGTAAGTATGAGTCAGTTGCTAAGCATCTGAATTTTGATCACGTCACCGTAGAGATGATCCAGTGGTCGTAAGAGTGAAAAATGGTGATGTCACTTTTTTCAGTGCTGGTGTAACTTTGAATGGTCACTAAATGAACTGTTGTAAGTGGAGGTGTACCTGTACATTGTACATTGCCTAGTAGAGAATATACATATGTTGCTTAGGACGGAATGTTTTTCTGAGCTTGTTTTTTTCCTGTTGACATTTGCAGAACAGATAATGAAAAACAACCAAGCTCAGTGAATACCAAGAACCCAACCGTAACCCTGCCTTACCAATGACAAAATGTACTTTGGCCTTGTCAGCTGGGAAAATGTAAGGTGGTTCCTGCCAGTTTGTGGCATAAGTTTTTCCCATTGTGGAAAGGAATTCTTTGAAATCAGTTCAGCCGTTCTCTCATTCCAGATCATACAAAGTTTTGAAATCAACTAATTCCATCCAGCCATTTCATCCGATTCACTCTTTTTCCAGTGAGGGAAATGGGGATTAGATGAAACATGTTACAAAGCAGGTGTTCCCCTTGCCCTTCTTCTAAGGAAATGCATAAAACCAAGAAGGAAGGCTTCAAAGCGAAAGCCTTGCCCTTTGATCTCATTCAACTCTTCAACCAATCTTGTTTGACATCCCTGTTGTAAATCAGATTGATAATCAGATCATTTCCAGACTGTCATTTGTTATTTTATGCTTATCATATTCACCCAACTGGAATCCAGCTATTGAGCTGTGGTGGCACAGTGGATAGAATGCAGTACTGCAGTCTCTGCCACACATGCCCAGTGGGTGTGGCATATGCGAAAGACACATGTGTGCATGCCCAGGGACGGAGTGCATGCATGGGGGGTGCTTGCATTGCAGTTTGGGGCCTTGCGTAGTACTCATGTGCATCTTTTGGACCTAGAAAGCCTCCTGCACCAACCTGGAAACCAAAAATGTGGGGGGGACATGCGGGTGCATGTGCAGGGAAGAGCAGTGGGTCATGCACACCAATGGTGGGTTGCAGGCGGTACACTCCAGTACAGGCATACTGGAGCCTGCCTGGAACACTGGATACCATTCCGGTATGGTGCTCGGGAGGGCCCGCCCGCCCGAGCTCCTTACCGGTCTTTTAAGGCTTCCACACACTGCCCATACTGTGCATGCACATAGCGCATATTGAGCAGCTAGAGTGTTGCGGAGATGCTAAGACACACACGCACACTATGTGCGCCCATGTGGACGCTGCAGGACCCATTCCAACCATACCAGTTTGAACGGGATCTGGAACCCACAACTGATGGACGCATGCATGGGGATGGCGTGTATGCATTCATGGGGATGGGGTGCAAATTGGGGGGGGGTCACACATCCATGGCACGCGCTTTGGAACGTGACAACAAAAAGGTTAGCCATCAGTGCTCTATTGTATGCTAGTTTTAAATAGCAATAATAGCGGATTCTAACCTGATATCTGAAACTTGTTCAAGTGCTTATATCCATGGGGGAAATGACAGTTTTAACCTAGCCATAAATAATTTTGGAAAGCAATGCTTACAATTGTGTTCGTCTTCTCCTGTTAGGCAATCCAGTTCATTATTACACACGTAGCTGCTTGGAATACACACATCTGAGTTACAATGGAAAGCTTTCTTTTTGCAGGCTATTGGAAAAGAAATAATTATATAATAAGTAAAGGTTTTGTTAAAAGTTATGCTAAGCACTGAGCAATAAATATATAAGTTTATATAGAACAGATACATGTAGAAAAGGAACATACCTTTGCAACATAATTCATCACTTGAATCACCACAGTCATTCAATCCATTACATGTTTTCGTTAAACTGATGCATTTTCCATTGACACAGCGGAATTCTCTGGCGTTACAGACTGACAAGTTGAATTAAAAAAAAAACCAATTGTTAATCATGGTGTGGAAAAAAAAATAGCTAAATCGGATTACTCAACATGTTGCCTTTCAATATTCTGGAATATAGATAGGTCCCACTATTTTCAGTTACAGGTAGTCCTTGACTTACAACAGTTCATTTAGTGACTGTTGAAAGTTACAATGGCACTGAAAAAGACTCATGATCATTTTTCACACATCCATTGCAGCATCTCCATGGTCACGTGATCAAACTTCAGCCACCTGTCAACTGACTCACTTAACAAATGTCTCACTTAGCAACAGAAATTTTGGGGGCCAATTTTGGTCAAGAACAACCTGTATTAACATCTCTGGAAAGCATCAATTGAATTTTTGGGGAGAACATTCTGAAAGCAAGAGCAGCTTGACAATGGAACCATCTAATGAGGAAAGTAGTAACTCCTCTTCCTAGAATGAATTTATGTAAAGGCTGGAGAGATGTCTTTCAGGGATATTTCACTTTGGCTTCTAGGACAGAAAAGAAGATTGAACTCATTGACCATAATCAGCGGTGGGTTTCACATTTTGTTTCCACCAGTTTGCCACACATATGCATACTCACTGCGTAGACGCACACGTCCCTTCCACGCATATACCCGGCCTTCTGTGCATACACTTTGGTCATGCATGCATCTTCTGTGCATGCGCCCGGTTTCAAAAACGTGCATAGAACTGGGACAGATAGGCGGGTGAGCGGGCTGCTACCAGTTTGGGCGAAGTGGTCTGAACCAGCTGAATACCACCTCTGACCATAATACCCTCTTCTAATTGAATCCATTAGGATTCAGTCACAACCCTACTAAGGCCAGATCATTGCAATGGCTACAAATATGCTGAGAGAATTTAAAGAGAATATGCCTCACTAGAACACTGAAAATCAGTATTTTGCATTATAGTTTATTGCAGACTATTTTTGTCTCTAACTTTTATTTATAATATCAGAAATTGCTAGTTATTTATACTATATATTTTACCAACCTCTTTGTTTTGTACTGCATGTCACCTTAGCCAACTTCCCAGTTGTCAACCTCATTCTCCTTAACCCACACTCAGCCAGTCTGGTCTCTATCCCTCTGCAGGTTGCTTTAAGGCATTCAAGTGACTTCTGGTCTTCATCTGGCTCAATATCCTCTCTCTTATCAGCTCCTCTGTACAGTTCAGCAAAACATAAATCAAATCAAATCAAACATATTGAAATTTTCATCTCTCAGCATTGTGAAATTAGATGAATCACTTAGTTAATTAGCTTTTACTTTTCCACCTGACAAACAATACATCTATTTTGATCATTATCTATGATTTAAGGCATTTATCATTTAAGATTATCTTATATTTCAGGGTGGGGAAAAAGAACACTGGGAGCAAAAGTAATGTTTTCCCCAAAGTAAAAATACCATGAATTTAAATAAAACCTTATCCCCAGTGGTAGACAGAAAAATGATATGCTCAGGGAAAAAGAGCAGGAGGAAGATGAGGAAGGAAGTTCAAAAGAAGAAATAGTGCACTGGGGAATGAAAAACAGAGAAAGAGAAGAATAGAGCTAGAAAAAGTTGGTGCACAAAAAGATAACTGTGAAAAGAAAGAAAGANGATCACATGCTTCAATGTTGATGGAGAAAAGAGAAGGGAGGCCTGAGATGCTGAGTCCCTGGTTTTATACCTCTCTGGCCTTTGATCTTGAACTTGTATTCTGATTGGTTGTTGGACTCCCATGGGGCCATACAGGGGCAACTCTCTAGGCTGCGTTTTGAATCCAGGTTTGGTTGAGTTCTCAGATGCCATGTGGTGAGTTAGGTAAAAGGGCCAATGTTATCATGCCTTAATCCCATCCCCCTGGAGCTGAAGTGGAGAAGCCTTTGTTATGTAAAGGGACTAGCTTGGCTTTCTTAATGGCCCATTGACAAAGGGGGGATGGGCAGGAACCTACAGGCAGCTATTCTGTCTTTCAAAACATGTTTCTTTCTTTTCACATCTAGAGAAATATTCTGCCTTTTCAATATTTCCTAGGATATTTCATTTTTCTGGCAGAGGCCTGGGTGATAACTTCCTACACTTCCTTTGGCCTCTTCCCTGTCATCCATTGCACACTTATAATTAGAAGATCTCCAGAGCTCTGGCACTTTCCACAGTTCTGTGCAGACTGCCTTAGGAATGCAGAATAGTATGGTCTGCCCCTGGGTCATGCGGCAGTCTCTGGGAAACGGATGTCATTTTGACATGCCAGGAATAAGTGGCCTGTCCTCTTTCCCCAACATGAGATCCGAAGATCTTCAGAAAGTAAATGGGGGATGGGCAGGCCCAAAATGAGATTGGGGGGAGGGGGAGGCAGGAGAGCCATTACAACATCCGTGCTAAAGGTTGTAAGAGCAGCCATAACTTCAAAATATGGTCATAAGTAGCTTTTTGGGTGGGGGTGTGTCTGTCATAACTTCAAACAGTGGCAAGATGTTAAGTAAAGACTACCTGTACCTAGCAAATTTTTATTTATTTAAAACAATTATCAAACCACCCATTTTATATCAAACTCTGGGTGATTCCCAATCAACAATTACAACATTATGAATAAAAGGGCCTTCCGTTGCTTTATGTCATCAAATGGAACCTAGATAGCCACTGAGGTTTAGATAGAACATATTCATTCTAAAGAAAACAGTTTTATAATCTCACCAAATAGTAAGTATTAATTACCTTCACCACGTCCCCAGCCAGATACTTTACACTGTTGACCGCCTCTGAACATATATTGTGACCAGGGAATGCATAGTGGCACAGTATCAGGTGGAGAACATGGAGTCCCTGGATTTTTCGATGTCATCTCCAACAAAGCAATATCATTTTCATACGTTTCAGAGTTATAGTTCTCATGTATGATCATGTTCTTTAAAGAATATGTTTCTATCCTGGTATTGAACTTTAGAAGGTGTAATAGCCCAGTCCAAATCGTATAAGTTCGAAGATGGCTCCTCCAAGCAAAAAGAAAAAGGAAAAAAAAAGAGGAGAAGAGAAATATTGCTAAAGGTATAACTTGATAGGAAAGTAAATTTGGCTCCGGTTAGATTCCGAATTGATTAAGGAGCAAGTGTTTTATATAGTTATTTTCAGGGGTAGGAATCAGCTGGTTCGTACCAGTTCAGCGAACCGGTAGCTCTGATAAACCGGTTCGCTCAATTATGTTGGCCCACCCATCTGCCCTTGCACTTTACTTACCACGCCTCAATTGTGTTACTCCCCAAAAAATAATGTGGAAGGGAGGTTTTGGTAAAACTGCGCATGTGTGCACAGCGATCTCCAAATTGGTTATTAAACCGGAAGGATCCCACCACTGGTTATTTTCCACTTTTAGCGACATACTTTACCCAATTGATAGGAAGGCAGATTCTTAATAAACATTAGAGAAAATCCCCCACAAAAGGAATACCTCGATTATAGATTCAATTAGACAAAGTTTTGGTGAGCTCCGTCTGCTGAATGTATTCAAGCGGACCCTACATGGGGTTCTACTAGGAGTAATTACTGTAATTTGGATTCCTGAACCAAGCAGCAGTGTCAATGGTGTGAATATTCTACCCTTTTCAACTTCATGAATCTAGGATGTTATAGGTATTTTTATCGATGTTTCTAACATTCATTAGAGAGTTTGTATTTAGTTACTTCTGAGGCACTACCAGAGCACTCAATGCTCAGAGGTGGGGAATGATTTGTCTTATATGAATTGCGGACTTCAACTTGCTGAACTACTGAGCTAGCCATGCTGGCTCAGGAATTGTGGGAGTTGAAGTCCACAATTCATAAACGAGCCATCATTCCCCATCCCTGCTCTAGGAGAATGTGTATGTAGTTAAGCATTTGTACACAGATGCTTTAAACAGAAGCAACTATGCCTATGTCTCTACTTGTCTAATCCCANGAAAAGGCTGTTATAAAAAGTAATATAAAGAAAATGCCTAGTACAAACGTACTATTTTGTGCTTAATCCTTCAAATCCAGCCTCAACACTTTCAGTTTTCCACAGAGCACTTCCTCTATGTGCCTCTGTAGAACCGTCCTAATACATCAATCATGATTGGCTGTTATTTGCATAATAAACAGTAAATTTACATCAGGATTATGTTGGTCAGTTGCTCAAATTCTTGGAATAGAAAGGTGTGATAGAAAGGGGAGAAATGCAAGTAAGTTCTTCCTTATGTTGGAGAAGAAGAAATAATGCAGAATAGTACAAAATACAAATCAAGTTATGAAACCATGGAATATTAAGCAATTTGATTAGAGTGTCAATGTTCCAAATAGCGTCCAAAATTAAATCAGAGTCCAAGGCAAAGTATTGCTCAATTTATTAAAAGAGCCATGTTGGCACATTTGGGAAAACCCGAATCTGAAAGCTTCCTGGTTTTCCCCACCCAGTTGAACATTCAAGATCTTGCCCAGCACCCTCATGTCCATCACATGGTCCAAACTTCCACTGCCATGCGGGTAGTTCCACCCATCCAGTTCCGGTCAGGTGTAGAGACAAAGATGACCTTGGATTCTAGAAAATAATTTTATTTTGGCTACATTGTTGCAGAATATCAGGAGACTAGGACTGCGAGATCAAGACAAGCTTTATTTGGCCAAATGGCTCAGACAGTGTAAACCCACATTTGATGTCTGAGCGAGGTTCTTAGGGAGAAGTGTGTTCTTATAACTTCCTCAAAACAGCTAACACGGAAATATCTTAAAACATTTCTATTGGCTAATCAGATTATATTGTGCTGCCCTTTCATGTCTAGGCTGCAGTTGGCATGCAGGAAGCATTAGTTACATACTGGCTTTTGTGGTTAAGCCCTATGCCTGACTCGCAAGCGAGACCTCCAACTGACTTGGCCTACAACAGCAGAGGTTATTTTTTGTGGCTTGACATTCAAGTTTCCTGAGTTCAAGTTTCCGGTTTTACTTCAAGACTCAGTAAATGTATAACAAGATAGAAGGGATAGACGGGGCCTCCCAGGAGATCTTATAGTCTGACCCCGTTTCATGTTATGTCCAAATCTCGCTTAGTTAGTTCCCCCCTTCAAGACTCTATTTTTAGCTACAATTGAGTCTTGCGTCTTATTGTATCTTAATATGACATTTAGCATTGCATATGGCAAGGTTAATATCTCAGGAGTACGTATTAGCAATGCAAACATCTAATACAATCAGTTTAGAATAATGATACATAGCAGTGAGAAGAAAAAAGACAAGTGATACATATAGAATGATTCTCAGATCTTCCTCTCTGAAGGCACTTTCTCCAGTCCCCAGGGTGCATGTTCCAGTCCAATTGATAGGTAAGCATAAATACACATTTTTCCCACATAAGAAGAAAACTCCATTTTCTCCTACACACACACCTATGTTCATGGAAAAAGGCATGGGCTCAGAGATTCTTTTCATTAGTCCAGGCTTGCAAAGTTCCTGTCAGGAACATACCAGTAAATGGTTGTAATGGAGCTTCTTGCTTAGGGTCCTTTTGCTTATCCCTGAGAACTGGACCGTCAAACAGATAATGGGAACTGGTATTTCCAGGGGGAAAGAGGGCTCGGTGTCACCTGTGGCACACATGCCATAAGTTCGCCATCAAGGTATATCTTTATTTATATTTGTAATATTGTTATATCACTGACATGCATAGTTAGTGGATCTTAATACAAAACAAAACTAATGAGAAACTTATTGCTTGTTGCATACATCATTTTTTATTTGAATATACAAAGAGAATACATAAAAAATAGAGCAGATTTTTCTAAAAAGTCAGCAAGGTTTTAAAGCCATAAATGTACAATTTTATAAGTCACTAGAGTTCGTCTGGGGCATAATCGATATTGAAATACGCTTTTAAGTACTAGAGATTTTAACAGGCTTAAACTCTACTTTTATATATAGTAATATATCTACTTAGGAAGATGTTTCAATTAATTCTACCATTTCCAATTTATTATAATGTTTAAATCATCAGGCTAGAATCCTTAGGTGCAAAGCTACCTGGCCAACCTCGAACCAGTCAATTCTGCTTCAGCCCCTATGAAGAGGGAATGGCAAACCATTCTGAAATCTTACTGAAATTGCAGGGACCAGGCAGCTGCCAAGAGTCAAGGCCGACTCAAAGGCACAAACAACAAAGCAAAATTTCAAATTGTATAGGAACTGTTGTTGTATAGTTAAATCAGTTAAACTTCAAGTACTTAATATTTGTTGAACTGAGCTACCAGTTTTCTAGTTGATCTGTGTTTCATTAATGCAGGTAAAAGGGGAGAATATTTGCATTCTAACAATCACAAATTATATTTGGAAATGAGATTTATTCCAGTATGTCGAGCAATCCAATCAAAATAGTGTGCCACTTTTGTATAAACACCAGGATGTCCCCTTTCACCACAGTTTTCACCCCAGCTCACAATACCCCAAAGATATCCCACATTGTTAGGGTCAAAGCAAACCAAAGGTCCTCCTGAATCGCCCTTACAGGCATCTACAGAACCATCATCTGTACCTGAAATAAGAAAAACAAAAACAGTTCCCTATGAAAATTCTTTATTTTATATTTTTAAGCAGAATTTCACATATTTTTGGTCATTCACTGAAAACATACTACTATACATGTAGTATATTACTTGTATGCTATGATTTTAAATCTAAAGTATTTGTAATACTTAAACGATTATCCCTCAGTTTATTATTTTATTTTACTTTATTTTAGTATTTTTTCAGATTTACATCTTGTCTTTTCTCCAGGAGTTGAAGGTATACACACAAGATTCCGTCTCCCTGTTTTTACCACAACCAACCATCTTGTGAGGTATTGAGAGATTATGATTGAATTGATAGAAATTAATTCAATGTCAGCATTAAGCTTCTATGGCTGAGGTAAACCTGAATTCACATTTCAAATCCCTAGTTCGATATGTGAACCTTTATTCTTTACTGGCTTTTAATACTGAATTAAAACAATGTCAATCTGGAAGAAAACCCAAAGTGCATAAAAACTTGTGGATGCGGCCAATGAAATTCTTTCTCAAACAAGGTTTAAATTACCTATCCATAATTGGTTTGTGATGGTTGGAAAGAAATGCATTCTAGATTGGATGATATATTTAATATTGAATTTTTTTATCAAAGACCAACATTTGATGGCCCATTCTATCTACCAGCTCAGGTAATGGTTTCAGAATAGAGGTAAGAATGATTCATTTCATGCTCACCGGCACATTCCATTCCTTTGAAAAATCGATTCTTGTAGATTTCTGAACAGTTATCCATTAGATTAATATAACCCCACTTAAGAATATATTGCCTTGTAGATTCTAAACAAGAAATGGGAAAGAGACAGATAAATGAATACCAAAGATTAATGACAAAAAAGTTTCCAGTAGGTTGTCAAATCTTTCTACAGTTTTAAAATTAAAATTGACTTAATTAATCCAATTATTTTTGTGACAAATAATTAATTACATTTTTTTAAAAAAAACATGTATGTCTTTCTTCAAAATTTATACAATGTATGGCATTTTTTCCCCATCCTATTTAAGAATATTGCATTTTTAACCATTTTTTCCTTGCGGTGTTGAAGTTTAAGCAAGACAGTCTCAGTAACCCCTGTTCTCCCTGATGCAGTCATTAAATGACCATGGAGGCCATGGGGTGTTTCAGAGGTGGGCCAAGGCCTACCCCATCCCTTATTACCCCTTTTCCACTTGTCCCCCTTGGGGTGACCACAGCCCTTGGGCCTGCTTCCCCCCCACACCAGATCCCTGCAGACATTCCCTCTTTTAACCAAGTTGCTTCCTTTGGCCTCTTCCCTGTCATCCATTGCACACTTATAATTAGAAGATCTCCAGAGCTCTGGCATTTTCCACAGTTCTGTACAGACTGCATTAGGAATGCAGAACAGTATGGTCTGTCCCTGAGCCATGTGGCAGCCTCTGGAAAACAGATGCCATTTTGAAATGCCTATAAAGAATTTTGGGAATGCTGAAAGTGGTGCTCTCTTCTGGGAGGCAGCCAAACATCCCAGGAATAAGTGGTCTGGCCACTTTTCCCAACATGAAGTCCAAATATCTTCAGAAAGTAAATGGGGGATGGGCAGGCCCAAAGGTCAGCTGGGGTAGAGAGGCAGGGGAGCCCTTACGACATCGGTGGTGAAGGTTGTAAGAGCAAATGACCATGAGACACTATAGCAGCCATAACTTCAAAATATGGTCATAAGTAGCTTTTTGGGCAGTGTTTGTGTGTGTCTGTCATAACCTCAAACAGTGGCCAGATGTTAAGTGAAGACTTCGTTATACCTAGCAAATTTTATTTATTTAAAACATTTATCTAACCACCTATTTTATATCAAACTCTGGATGATTCCCAATCAACAATTATAACATTTTCAATAAAAGGGCCCTCCATAGCTTTATGCCATCAAATGGAACCTACACAGCCACTGCGGTTTAGATAGACTATGAACATATTCATTCCAAGGAAAATAGTTTTATAATGTCACCAAATATAAAGTATTAATTACTTTCATCAAATCCCCAGCCAGATACTTTACACTGTTGACCGCCTCTGAACATATATTGTGACCAGGGAATGCATACTGGCACAGTGTCAGGTGGAGAACATGGAGTCCCTTCATTTTTCGTTTTCATCTCCAGCAAAGCAATATCATTTTCATACGTTTTGGAGTTATAGTTCTCATGTATGATCATGTTCTTTAAAGAATATGTTTCTATCCTGGTATTGTACTTTATTGAGTCTAACATCCCAGTCCAAATCTTATAAATATGAAGACGGCTCCTCCTAGCAAAAAAAAAGGGGGGAGGGGAGAGGGGAAGAGAAATATTGTTTAAGCTATAACTTGATAAGAAAGTAAATTTGGCTCCAATTAGATTTTGAGTTGATTAAGAAGCAAAGTGTTTTATATTATTTCCCACTTTTAGAGACATACTTTACCCAATTGCTAGGAAGGCAGATTCTTAACAAACATTAGGGAAACCCCCCCCACAATAGTACTACTTCGATGATATAAGTAAAACCATATATAAAACTGGTTTTACATACTGCATATTAACTGCAGCTGGAATTGTATTTGCGCAACAATGGAAAAATAATGAAATACCATCAGATGAGAGTGCTAATATTAAGAAAATATTAGAATGCGCAGAAATGGACAGATTATCGCTCATGATTAAGGATAAGAAGAAACTGAATATTTCTTGATGTGGGATGTATTTTACCAATAATGAGACAATAGAAACAGAAGTTAAAAAAGAGAATATATATATATAAAAGAGGAAATGTTAATGTGGAGAGAATTTCATGATGAAGATGTTATGTACTATTATAATTGCATTGATAGGTATATTATTAATAGTATTTTTATGAATATTATAACAAATATTTGGATATTGATTGATTTAAACCCAGATATCAAACTGTTCAGTGAAAATGTAAAGTAATATAAATAAAATAAATAAAACATGAAAAAAGGAAATACTTTGATGATAGATTCAATTAGCCAAAGTTGTGGTGAGCTGCCTTTGCTGAATGTATTCAAGCGGCGGCTACATGGCATTCTATTAGGAGTAATTAATTTGGATTCCTGAACTAAGCAGAGGAGTGAATGGTGTGAATACTCTACCCTTTTCAACTTCATAAATCTAGAATATTAAAGATATTTTTAATAGATATTTCTAACATTCATTAGAGAATTTGTATTTAGTAATTTCTGAGGCATTACCAGAGCACTCGATGCTTAGGCAGGAAACTCTACATCACTTCAGACAAAGTTATCCAACATCTTCTTAAAAACTTCCACTGTTGGGGCATTCATAACTTCTGGAGGCAAGTTGTTCCACTGATTAATTGCTCTAACTGTCAGGAAATTTCTCCTTAGTTCTAAGTTGCTTCTATCCTTGATTAGTTTCCACCCATTGCTTCTTGTTTTACCCTCAAATCCTTTGGAGAATAGTTTGACTCCCTCTTTTTTGTGGCAACCCCTGAGATATCGGAACACTGCTATCATGTCTCCCTAGTCTTTCTTTTCATTAAATTAGACATACCCAGTNTTGTGTTCGTCTTCTCCTGTTAGGCAATCCAGTTCATTATTACACACGTAGCTGCTTGGAATACACACATCTGAGTTACAATGGAAAGCTTTCTTATTGCAGGCTATTGGAAAAGAAATAATTATATAATAAGTAAGATTTTGTTAAAAGTTATGCTAAGCACTGTGCAATAAATACATGTGTTTATATAGAACAGATACATGTAGAAAAGGAACATACCTTTGCAACATAATTCATCACTTGAATCGCCACAGTCATTCATCCCATCACATGTTCTAGTTAAATCGATGCATTTTCCATTGACACAGCGGAATTCTCTGGCGTTACAGCCTGACAAGTTGAATTTTTTAAAAAAACAATTGTTAATCATGGTGTGGAAAATAAAATAGCTAAATCGGATTACTCAACATGTTGCCTTTCAAATCTTCTGGAATATAGATAGGTCCCATTATCTTCAGTTACAGGTAGTCCTTGACTTACAACAGTTCATTTAGTGTCCATTTGAAGTTACAACGGCACTGGAAAAAGTGACTCATTATATTTTTTCCCATGACCATTGCAGCATCTCCATGGTCACGTGATCAAACTTCAGCCACCTGGCAACTGACTCATATTTATCATGGCTCCAGTGCCCCGGGGTCATGTGATCACTTTTTGCAACCTTCTGACAAGCAAATTCACTATTACTAACTTAAGAATTGCAGTGATTCACTTAACTTCTGCACATGCACCTGGCCTCAAAAATGTGCCTAAATAGGACGGCATAGAGTAGGGACAGGTTGGGCAGGTGAGCGGCCCCACTCGCTATTTCCGCTACCAGTTTGGGAGAACTGGTCTGAACCAGCTGAATACCACCTCTGACCTATTCTAATTGAATCCATGACGATTCAGTCACACCCTACTAAGGCCAGATCATTGCAGTGGCTACATAATGCTGATTGTCTCTTGAAAGGAGGATAACTAAATCAAGACAAGAGACTAAAAGAGAACATGCCTCGGTGGGACACTGAAAATCAGTATTTTGCATTATATTTTATTGCAGACTACTTTTATCTCTAATTTATAATTGTAATATCAGAAATGGCAAGTTACTTACACTATATATTTTACCAACCTCTGTATTCTGCACTGCATGCCACCTTAGCTAACTTCCCAGTGGACAAACTCATTCTCCTTAAACCACACTCAGCCAGCCTGGTCTCCATTCCTCTACAGGTTGCTTTAAGGCATTGAAGTGAGTCCTGGTTTTGGTCTGGCTCGATAGCTTCTGTCCTATCAGCTCCTCTGTACAATTCAGCAAAAAATAAATAAAATCAAACATATTCAAATGTGTATTCTAATTTCAGCATTGTGAAATTAGATGAATCACTTAGTTAACTAGCTTTTACTTTTCCACCTGAGAAACAATATATCTATTATTGATCATTATCTATGATTTAGGGCATTTATCTTATTTAAGATTATCTTATATTTCAGGGTGGGGAAAAAGAACAGTGGGAGCAAAAATAATGTTTTTCCCAAAGTAAAATTACCATGAATTTAAATAAAACCCTATCCCCCGAGGTAGAAAGAAAAATGATATGCTCAAAGAAAAAGAGCAGGGGGAAGATGAGGAAGGAAGTTCAAAGGAAGAAATAGTGCCCTGGGAAATGAAAAATGGAGAAAGAAAACAATAGAGCTGGAGAAAGAAGGTGCACAAAAAGATAACTGTGAAAAGAAAGAAAGAAAGAATATCTTTAGACATTGACAACAACAAAGCAGCAGAGAAAGCAGAGATATGTGCTTTCAAAGTAAAAAAATGCAGCACAATTTTTTTTATGTTGAGCCCTTGTTATTCTCTGAGTTTTGTTGTTTCCTGGCAGGTATTTTATTACCCAACTAGGTAACATGATCAGTGCCATTGATGTTAGTAACTAGGTAATGGAATGTTTGCCNTAATGGCCACTTGCCAGGGAAATTCAAGCTATTAAAAAGGGGGAAAGAGATTAAAAAAATCAGTGCAACTATTATTATTACGGATTATTACGGATACACTTTTAAAAACCAGAACAGTTTTTGATAAAATTTACATAAATACACAGCAAGCTCTTACTGTTTTACCCATTGGTGGATTTATTTAATCTACAGAAACAGCAAAATGTGTAGAATAAATAGCAATTCTCCAAATATTACAGAACATTAATTTACTTGTGCTGTCTATTCTGGCTCTCTATTTTAGAGAAAGAGAGAAGGGAGAAATAAAAAAGCAGGATTGAAAGTATAACAGCAACTTGATATTGTTTGTTTTTTCTTCTTTTGAAAACATTTTACTTCTTATCTAAGAAGCTTCTTCAGCTCTCACAGAATAGTGGGGGATGGAGGGATTTTTATTCTTTGCAGACAACTTATAACGACTCTCTAAAAGGATGCAAATTACGAGTTGTCTCCTGAAAAAGCCACTTTGGGACAATCATAACCTGGATGACTGAGAATCTCTAAAAACTTTTATAACATGAAAATTAACTCCTCATTATAGTCTCCAGATTTTTTCTTTTTGAACAATCATTAGATTAGAGGTACTTCTCAATTTATGAACACAACTAAGCTCAAAATTTCCCTTGCTAAGGGAGACAGTGAGGGAGTTTTGCCCCATTTTACAACTTTTCTCGCCACAGTTGTTAAGTTAGTTCAATAGTTGTTAAGTGAATCTGGCTTCCCCATTGACTTTGCTTGTAAAAAGGTTGCAAAAGGTAATCACATGACCCCAGGAACGGCAACCATAATAAAACATGCCAGTTGCCACCATTCAAATTTTGATCACATAACCATGGGGATACTGCATAAGTGGGAAAAAGAGTCATAAGTCACTTTTTTCATTGCCATTGTAATTTTGACTGGTCACTAAATGAATAGCTGTAAGGACTGCCTGTATTGCAGAGGTGGTACTCAGGAGGTTCTGACCAGTTCTGAAGAACCGGAAGCAGAAATTTTGAGTAGTTCGGAGAACCGGTAAATACCACCTCTGACTGGCCCCGCCCCATCTATTCTATGCCTCCCGAGTCCCAGCTGCAGTAACCCTTCCTGGGGTGGGGAGGGAATGAAGATTTTACAGTATCCTTCCTCTGCCATGCCCATCATGCCACGCCACGCCCACCAAGCCACATCCACAGAACTAGTAGTAAAAAATTTTGAATCCGACCACTGCTGTATTGCACCCAATTAGTATACTATTTATGCATTCTTATCAATGTTAACGTTTAACCAAATGCCACCTTTTGCATTTACCGGTTGTGCAGTAAATCCACCAATGATTCTCTTCCGACGAATAACTGTTTGATCTCTAATGCCACAGGATATTACTGGAAGCAAAGTCTTTATCCTTTTTCTTTCTTTAATAAAACAAATAAGCAGTGTCATAATACTCACACNCCCAACAGCCTCCAATGTACGTCCCACCACAGTTCACTGTTTGCCCTTCGCCTCTAATGGCCACTTGCCAGGGAAATTCAAGCTATTAAAAAGGGAGAAAGAGACCAAAGAAAATTAATTTAGTTATTTGGGTTATTAGAGATACATTTTTAAAAACCAGAAGAGTTTTTGAAAAAAATTACGTATATACCCAGCAAGCTCTTGCTGTTTTACCCATCGGTGGAATTATTTAATCTACAGAGACAGCAAAATGTGTAGAATAAATAGCAATTCTCCAAATTTTACAGAACATTAATTTACTTGTGCTGTCCATTCTGGCTCTCTATTTTAGAGAACGAGAGAAGGGAGAAATAAGAAAACAGGATTGAAAGTATAACAGCAACTTGACTTTGGTTTTTTTTTCTTTTGAAAACATTTTATTTCTTATCTAAGAAGCTTCTTCAGCTCTGACAGAATAGTGGGGGATGGAGGGATTTTTATTCCTTGCAGACAATTTACAAAGACTCTCTAAAAGGATGCAAATTACCAGTTGTCTCCTGAAAAAGCCCCTTTGGGACAACCATGACCTGGATGACTGAGAATCTCTAAAAACTTTTATAACATGAACATTAATTCCTCATTATAGTCTCCAGATTTTCTCATTTTGAATGATTATTAGATTACAGGTAGTCCTCAATTTATGAACACAACTGAGCCCAAAATTTCCCTTGCCAAGAGAGACTGTGGGGGAGTTTTGCCCCATTTTACAACTTTTCTTGCGGCAGTTGTTAAGTTAGTTCAATGGTTGTTAAGTGAATGTGGCTTCATAAAACATACCAGTTGCCAACCATCCAAAATTTGATCACATAACCATGGGGTTGCTGCAATAGTTGTAAATGTGAAAAAGAGTCAGAAATCACTTTTTTCATTGCCATTCTAATTTTGACTGGTCACTAAATGAATAGTTGTAATAAGGACTACCTGTATTGCGGAAGTGGTATTCAGCAGGTTCTGATCAGTTCTGGAAAACCAGAAGTGGACATTTTGAGTAGTTCAGAGAACCGATAAATACCACCTCTGGCTGGNAGAGTTATTATCCCAGATGTCCATTGAAAATCAATATGATAAGATTCTAATGACAAGTGTAAAACTTGAGTTATGTTCAGAGTCACTTTAAAAATAGAAGATATTTTAGTTTAGCAAATTGCTTTATATTCAACTGATGTATATAACCACACTTGAACATTGTCACATCCCTAGAATTGACAAATGTGAAAAAAGAGAAGATTGTTTTTAAATATGAGGTTTTATAGTAATTTATCTACACATTTACCTTCGTCCATGGACTCTCTAACTTGATTTAATTCTTCTGCAAGAAAATAAAAACAGTACAATTGAGTTGAAAGTACTGTAAAAGAAATGTCCTTATATAAATATATATAGGCAGGTTTTGTCACATTCGGGTCTTTTTCCATGTAAGATTGAGAGTCTCTTGGCGACATTTCGACGAGGTCACACTCATCATCTTCAGGCCGGTGCCTGAACATGGCAGCTCCGCTCACTCTTGGCTCACACAAATATGAAGCATAAGGCACCAGCCTGATGATGATGAGTGTGACCTCGTTGAAACGTCACCAAGAGACTCTCAATCTTACACGGGAAAAGACCCAAACATGCCAAAACCTGCATACCTGTACTCGTGAAAATCTATGAAAACACACACACACACAAACTATATATACCCGTCCACATATCATCAAGATGAAGAGTGAGAGGAGGAATTCTGGAGTTGAACTCCACAAATCTTAAACCTCTCAAGTTTGAACACCCGAGTTTTTTTCTAAAGGGTTAGGGGTACAAGGATCTTGTAACTTGACAGTTTTAAGACTTGCATGCGTCAAATGCCAGAGTTTCTGAGCCAACATTTTGGTTGCTAAGCAAGAGCGTTGTTAAGTGAGTTTCACCAAATTTTACAAGTTGGCCATGTCCACCCAGTCACATGACTGCCAAGCCACTCCCACTTGGTCACATGGCTGCCAAGCCACTCCCACAAAGCAGGCCACATCTACAGAAGAAGGTTCTAAAAAAATTTGAAACCCACCACTGGGACAGAGGGTCTTCACGCAAGAGATCACCAGGCAGGGTGGGATGGAGGCTTTGTACTGTTTGACGTTATAATAATATAATAAGTTGTCCCTTCAAGTCAGTTTAGATTGTAAATCAAATTTAGAAAGCTTTGATTGCCAAAGAAAATTGTCTCTTTAAGTGAAGGATCAGACGAAAGAATACATCTACAGATGAGGCCCTGGGAGTCCGAGGAAGGGTCATATGTTGAGATAGGACCTAGGTGTGGGTAAAATGGGCATGAGAGTGAGGAGTTTAAATTCTGAAAACTATTTACTCTTATTTTCATTTCTTTGCCTTAAAATATACAATTAAACGGTTTTTATCCCTTTTCCTTTTCTATTGTAATAGGGGATTTGCAATACAGGCTTGCTAACAGCTGCCAATACTTGATATATTGAGCGGGCCTGCTGTAGGAAGAGGGTAGTGGTGGGATTCAAAATTTTTTACTACCTGTTGTGTGGGCATGGCATGGTGGGCGTGGCATCAGTGGTGGGTTGCTCGCAGTTTGGCCCAGTTCAGCTGAACTGGTAGTAACAGCGATGGGGGGCCCTGCCCACCTGGGCAAGTGCGCGCGCACACAAGCCTAAACCTGTAGTAAAAATATTTGCAACCCATCACTGCATGGCATGGCTTGGTGGGCGTGGCTTGGTGGTTGTGGCAGGGAAAGGATACTGTAAATTGACATAAATTGTTTAAATTGAACAATTGCTTGTTAACATTAAACTGTCCCGTTTATGTGGCTTTCATGGGCTTTTGGGTGTTTAATAATTAGTGGTTCATCTCCACATGCACATAAAATCTGTTTTAAAAAACCTAAAAGTAAAGTAGTGGATTAAGACTGCAGCAGAATATCATTGGCTGCAGATTGTTATTAGGATTGCACTAGACTAGAGGTTCACATAATTAAATATCTCCTTGTGTAGAATTTCAATACCTCCTTTGGGTCCCTATTAGTTTTTCAGCACATTCAGCCAGATCACCTAAGAATCTAAGGCCGGGATGGTGAACCTATGGCACGCGTGCCACAGGTGGCACACGGAGCCATTTGTTAGGGCATATAAGGCATTGCCCTGTCAGCTGGTCAGCACGCATGCCTTTTTAAAAGGCATTTTTCGCCCTTCCCAGGCTCCAGAGGCTTTATAGGAGTCTGGGGAAGGTGAAAAGAGCCTCCCCAACTCCCCGGAGGCTTCATGAACTTCCCTGAAGCCTCTGGAGCACAAAAAAATGGCCCTATGGGCAAACTGGAAGTTCAGGAACGGACTTCTGTTTTGCTCGGAGGGTCGTTTTGAGCGCTCTGGAGGCTTCAGGGAAGCCTCCTGAAGATCCCTGAAGCCTTCTGAGGGTTCCAGGGGAGGTGGGGGGGGGGGCTGTTTTCACCCTCCCCTAGCTTCTTTAAAGCCCTTGGAGCCTGGGGAGGGCGAAAAAAGCATGCAAAAAATGGGGGGGGTGCCTGTAGTATGTGCATGTGCACTGGGGGGGTATTCGTGCATTTCATTATGGGTGTGGCACGCCCACACACGACCTCACTGCGCTACCCCCACTTATGGCATGTGAGCCAAAAATGGTTCGCCATCGCTGGTCTTAGGTGAACAGTAAAGCATATGAAGTTAATGCAGACCTGTTTTTGCCTAGCTATTGATATGTTCACCTTTAAAACACAAGAAACATAAATACAACCTCTCAATTTACCTTACAAAGCAGACAATGAAAATACCCAAAATTATAGAATGATGATATTAGTAAGATACCTTTATAGTCTACATTTAATTTTTTTCTCTGGCCAAATTTATCTTTCTTGTTTCTTTCTATTTCTATTGAAGTAGAATAATAGTTAACATTTACGGTAGGTGAAATTCTTAGTATTTGTCTTTTAAATCTTATTTAACACCAAAGTATAGTGTCAAAAATATCACCTTTAAAAGTAGAGAAAGAAAATTATTGTATAATTAACTAATAAACAATTATTGTATGCAACAAAATTCATAAAGTTATTTTTGTGGTATAAAAAGAATATGGAACTCAAAGCCAAAATCTCCACTGCGCTATTATTCATAGAAGCTAAAAAAAAAACCTGCTATTATTTGCCATCCAGATTTTTGCAGCCCATATATGGAAGCCCTTGTTTAACATCTAATTTTATTATTATTGCATATTAAATTTATTTCATATGTCATTTTCAACATATCCACAACTCCTTTTCAAATCAAGATTCTCAAGATAATTTTAATGTTATTAAAATTATTCAGAGTAATTATTCCCCCAGACAAAAAGCCAGACAACAATCACTTTGTTTCCATCCCTACTAAGTGAGTTCCAGCAAAGAGCTGAGATGACAAATAGCAATAGCAATAGCAGTTAGACTTATATACCACTTCATAGGGCTTTCAGCCCTCTCTAAGCAGTTTACAGAGTCGGCATATTGCTGCCACAATCTGGATCCTCATTTTACCCACCTCGGAAGGATGGAAGGCTGAGTCAACCCTGAGCCAGTGAGATTTGAACCGC